GCCAGGGTGACCTCAGCCTCAATGGGTGTGAGTATCGACTTCTTAGCAAATTGCTGAAGCAGTGTTCATGTGCGCAACCGCTCCCCTCAGCTTCTTCACACATGCAAAAAAGCAACTGGCAATGGACCAGAGACCCAAACAGAAAATGTAAGACTCTAATAGAAGCAAACTCTGTGTGCCCTTGAATTAGGGGAAGATTTCTTAGATGTGACAAATTCATAAATGGAGTTTCTATCAGAATTTAAGACACATTTCCCCACAGTCACTATTTGGAGTGTGGAAAGTTGGGGTACAATCTGAGAAGCACATGTTTCTAACAGAGGCTTACCAGAGTCTTACCATGTAGAATATTAGAAAATAATTTGTAAAACACAAGAATAGGAAACAGCAAGAAAAAGCTTCAAATACCAAAGAATGTGGTGATGTGAGGGATGCTTAGTCACTGGTCATTTGGGAAGTGTGGATAGGTATATGAAAGCCACAGTGAGATATTACTACTGCATGCTATTAGAAGCTCAATTAATCCCCCATCCAGGGGAACAAACCTCAGCACTTGCAGGGAATAGATAAACTGTGGTATGCCCATTTGGGGGAACACACCTCAGCATTTGCAGGAAATAAATAGACAAACTGTGGTGTGACCATTCAGAGGAACACAACTCAGCTTGCACGGAATGGCTAAACAAATTGTGATATGCTGGTTCAGGGAAACATATGTTCAGGGAATAGATAAACTGTGGCATGCCCATTCAGGGGAACACACCTTAGCATTTACAGGAAATGGATAAACAGACTGTAACGTACCATTCACAGGAACATTCTGTGGAATGAACCCTGGGTACATGGAACATCAAGTACAAACCTCAAAATAGTCACTCACTCTAAGTGAAGGACATTAGGAAAAACAGTACATATATTTCAGTGGTACCTCTGTGCAAGTGTCAGATGTAAACTGGTGTGTATTGAGGGACAGCTACTGGTTACCTAGGCACTGTGAGAGGACTTATAAATAACCACAAGGACACATGTGATAGACATGGGGACTATCCTAACTGTGATGATATTTTCACAGGGTCATTAATAGTAAAATGTAGCTATTACAAAATAGATTATGCAGCAAATGCTGATAGATGATCATAGATGTGTCTTGCTATCCTACTGCTCCTCTAAGCCAGAGGCTTATTTAATGGCTTGCTTGAGATAAAGGGGATGATGCGTGTTTGTTACTGGATTTTCTTTTCCCGCCAGGTTCCACCACCCTTCAGCCCCAAATAAGCACACACAGACTTATATTAATTATTAAACTGTTGGCTAATGTCTAGGGCTTCCCATTGGCTAGCTCCATCTTAATTATTAATCCATAACTACTATTTTATGTATTTCTGCCTGACCTTATCTAACTGGAGAATGTCTGGTGCATCCTGTCTTCCTGGTCTCTACATGGCTTTCCTAGAATTCTCCTCATCTCCTAGTCCCACCTATCTTCCTGCCTCTATCAACCAATAAGAGAAACATATATGCAGAAGGACATCCCCCATCATGTGTTGACAATATTATTGAAGAAACTTTGAATCTATATGTCTCCAATAACATAGCTTCCAATATAGAAAACAGCTTTGGCAGAACTATAAGAAGAAAACAAATCTACCGATGTCATAGGAATTTTAATACATCCTTATTTCCTAGTAGATTGTATGCAGATTAAAAACCACTAAAGATGAATTATGCTATGAGTTAATTTTCTTTAATAGACATATATAAACTGCTGCCTCTAAGAGCTCTAGCTGTGTGTTTAAGAACAGCAGACACACATTTTGTGGTGTGACTTTTTCTGTAGAGAGGATACCAGCAGAGCAAAGAAAGGGCCCTGTCCAGGTCCAGGTTGGTGAACTGGGGAGTCTGTTCTGGTTACTTACAGAGTGTGAGCAGGTTCACATGGGTCACTTGATGGCAGCTCAGTCATGTCAGCTGTATCAGAGCCAGGCCTGTGGCCTACCTCAGAAAACATTTGTTGAAGATGTGTTCTATCCCAAATCCATATCCAAATTACCTTCGAAGACTGGAGTCCTTAAGGCCCACCTCCAAAATCTCAATTAAGTCACAGTCAGTAACTCAAAAACTAAAGGGACATAAATGAACCATGCATTTACAGATTTGAAAAAATATACTGGTAAATCAGGTACAATCCAAAAACGACATCTTAAAAGCCAGTGGCATGTTCTGAGACATTGGGATGATAAAGGTTCATTAAGACTTGGAGTGCAGCTGAATTTGGGCTTCTGGGGGTGACTGACAGGCTTGCATTGCTTGCTTGTATCAGAAAAGAAAAAAAGCCAGACATTAATGAGCTTGCAGCCATCTCCCTTAAGTTAGCAAAGGAACTGGAAAAAGAAAGTACTCTGCTTCTGTATGTGTTTGAGAATTCCCACAACAAAGTACAGGAAGGAGAGAGAGACAAACTTACAGGAAGGAGATAAGGCAATAGGAGAGATTAACAAAATACCAATCATCAAAATCTAATTGGTTGATTCATTGATTTTAGAAAACCACTGGACATAAACCTCCAGCATGGTTAACATATAAGATAGAGGAAAAGTGGAATTAACAATTCTAATAGTTCCATACAACAGTAGGGTCTGAGGCAGAGAATCATAAATGCAGGGTCAGCCTGGGCTACTTAGTGAGAGCCTGTCTAAAAAATTGAGTGTGTGTGTGTGGTCCAAATAGGATATACTTTAGGTACACAGATATCTAGAAAAAAATACCTTGTAAGCTTGAAAACTTAAATGAGGAATGTTTGGAAAAAAATAAGAATATACAAAATTCTGAAAAGTCTGAATTGTTTTGTAACTATATAGAAATTGATTCTGGGGTGTAGTTGTGCTCACAGAGAAGTCACCAGACCCTGCCTACCACACAGGGTCTGTCTCTCAGGGATTGAAAGGAAACATCCCAAAGCTGTGTACACTCTTCTGAAAAAGGAAAGGGGGAAAGAAAGAGGCAAACAACCTAATGCTTAAACCCTACAAAGACAGTTAAAAAAAACTAGAATTTCATCTTGCCAGGTGAAATCTGATTAAAAGCTGGGGTACATTGTGACTAGATGCAGTTTATTCTGGGGGTACAAGTTGGTTCAGCCAAAGGAACCATGACTCTCAAGGCCTCTTCCCATTACCAGCTGACTTTATCATCTGGGTGGATTCAAAAGTCATATGTGACTGTGATAAGAATTCTCTTCAACCTGGAGCAGGACGAGACTTTCTTAACCTGCTGTGGCGTCGGACTTCAGGAAACCCATGCCATGTCATGAAATGGTGGCAGCAGATCCCCTCACAGTCGGGAAGTAGAGGAAGGAACTGTGCAAGTTGCTGTCACAGTGCTAGGCAGGTCATGCAGGGAGATGAAGAAGCAATGCCCACCTATAGGGCTGAGAGTGGCCAGCCTACTCTGCTAGTGACCTTCATGTCACTAAGACCACTGGACACCTCCTCACCCTTCCTAGTTGGACTTTCTGTAGCATGGGGCCTCTGGCATCCTTGTGGCTCCCTGACTACTGTCACTGTGTTTCTGGTCTAGACCACTGGTTAACTTCTTGTGTATCTTACTCTAAGTTTTAGGAGGGCCACAGCTATCTCATCAAACGTGTTCTGCTTCTGCTACAAAGCCTCTTGTCTTAGAAAGTGGCCCTTCCCCCTCTTTTCCTTAGACCTTAAATGCATCACGTGTAGCAATACATTGTGGACTCACCCTTACCAAAGATCTAGAATTTGCACTCTAGTTACAAGCTCTTGCTCCCCTTTGGTGCACATCACTAACACCTATCAGTTTTGTTGTGTGCCCCAAGCTTGTCCTGAGCTCTGTCTTTCCACTTTGCCTGCCCCGTGCCCTGTTCTCAGTGGGATAGCCAGTGGAGCCTTTGAAGTGTCTCTTCCCTCCACAGAGCTTTCCGGAACTGGGGTTCTGAAGATCTGTCCCACACAAGCTTCCCTGCACTGCCAACTTTGCAGTTGTCTTAGTGCTGTTGACCTTAGTGTTTCTAGGCTGTCATTGGCACTCTTTGACATCATGGCCTTTGTGTTTCTGTGTGTCTGCCTGCTCCCTCCTTGGTTCTTTGCTTGAGTTCCTCTTTAGCTGACTGAGCACCATATAGAAATTATGGTCATCCCCTGAGCATGCATAGACACTCCTCTTGTTATTCTGTCCACCTCCCTTGCTGTATTTTTTTTTCCTAAAGCATGTCACTTTTTGATGCACTGTATACTTTTATTACCCAACACACCAGTAACAGTGGTTACATAGGTATGTGTGGACATGGCAGAACCATGAAGGTAACAAACTGAGCTTGGGACTAGTCTGAGTAGCTGGTGGTGTGGCCTTGAAGCCAGCTAAGAGTTGCAGGGGGTGAAGAAATGAGAGCCTTCCAGAAAGGAGCTGTGCAGACCCAGTGGGGTGGTCTGAGCAGGTTGGACAGGCCTCCAGGGGCGACAGCAGTATGAGATGGTAAGAACAGAGGGAAGGGTACATTTGACTGCCCTGGAGAGAGACGTGGGGGTGGGAATTCAGGCAGATGCCACCAGACTTCCTGTCCTGCCAGCTGCATTCCCTACAGGACAACTTCCTGCTCCACTGCTTGTTTGGTCCTCAGCTTTCAGACCTGCTTTCTCTCCCCGGAAATGGAGGCTGCTCTCCAAAGCTCAAGTTTAGTGCCTGGCGCAGGATGGGCATTCACTAAATCTACTGATACTATCCCTGGCTATCATCTGTGAACAAAAGGAAGTTACTGTTCTTGGCATTGTTGAAAACCCAGACCAGGACCCTGCTTACCAGACTTGGTTTTAAACTGGTGTTTATTATAATGAGATGAGCATGCTGCAGTTCAGTCTCTGAGTAAAAGTGAGCTTTCCCCATGGCCCTGACTAGAGAGCCCACCCAGACGACTTTACCTGTTGGCTGATGTCTCCCCACACTGAGCAACACTCTCCTTGTTTTTTCTCTTTCAGTCTGAACCCGAGGGCTTTTCTCATTTCCACTTGTATGTTTGTGCTGCTTTCCTCGTGAGATGGAGGAGACAGATTCTAGAAGAAAGAGATTTCCAAGTAAGTAACCACCCTTCAGAAGGCCCCAGTTTGGTCTATTCACGGCTGATTTGTGGAAGAGCTGTAAGGAGCACTAGTTACCTTCACTGCTGACCTCCTGATGCTAGGAAGCTCCTCTTGCTGAGACACAGAGCTGGTGGCACTTGGCCACTGTGGCGTAAACTGGGCTGGCATCATGAGCCCCCACCCAGACTCCCTGAGTCATGTGTCATTACCAGTGTGACATTGGAAGGCCTGGTGTAACCTCCAGCTCCCAGGGCCTTTATCACAAGGCCTATGATATGCTAGAGGCCGTTCTGGATAAGAAACCACACAGCTCAAGCTCCCATCTTAACAGTCACTTGGTGACTGTGTGACCTGGGATACACCACTTAACCTCTCTGTGCAGGGTTCCTTACCGACTGAACAGTAGAGCTGTTAATGAACCCACTTGTCAGAGGCCTTGCTGAACACGTGTCCTGCCAGCTTTGTATTCTAACCGGGAAACTGCATGTGGCCAGGTATCCCCAAGAAGTGTCCCAGGTATTATAAGGACTATTGACCCTTTCCAGATGCTTTCTGCTATTACTAAGATGTCAGAGAGTCCTTGAATCTAGCTTATAAGACCTAGTAGTGAAACACCTTGCTGGGCAGGGTGGGGTGGGATGGTCTAGGGTACAGCAAAAAAGACACAAACATCGAAGGGACAGGACCCTGCACTATCTGTCAGTGTTTTATACCTCACTCCCTTGGCCACCCAGCTGTCGATAGACTAGGGGACCCTGTGGTTCCACGTTCCCAGTATGGTAACTCAAGGTAGCTCAGTGTTGTTGTTCCTCAACCCTAAGCTTGTCAGATGACTCTGAGCACCCTGCTTCCCATCGATGACTGTTAGAGGACTTGCCAAAGTCCTCCATATTCGCAGAGTCCTGCTCAGACCTTGGGGTGACAGTTGGTTTTAGTGTCCATTTGTCACAAATTACAATGAGCTGAGTAGGGAGCCTCACCCAAAGAACTGCCCTGATTGCCTCGATTGATGTCTGAAGACCCACTCTGAGGCAGGGGACACAGCAGAAGGAAGGCCTGTGGGCAGGTGAGGGTGTTGGCCAGGGGAAGGAGCTACCAGGAGGACCTTTGGCTTGGCAGACAGAGACAAGTCTGCCCACCAGTCCACAGTGTTTTAAGTACATGGGACGTGAGGCTGTCCTTTTGTCATTGCAGAACTCAGTTGTCCTGTGGGTTGCTCAATATGCTGACTGGGGTCCTAGGCTGGCCAGCACTCCAGGCTCCCTTATCTATCCTCGGGTACATAGTTTATACATAGTTGAGATGTCTTGGCTCCCTGCCCCACTAGGCATATGCAAGATTGCTGGCCTATCTGGTCATTGTTGCTGCATCCTCAGAACACGGAGCTCTAGGGAACATGGCTTGCCCTATCACCAAGTGATTTAGAGTACACTCCTTGAATGCTGAGTTCTATCTCCCAGTACACTTGTTTGTCCTCAGGAAGCTCTGGGAAGCAGACCTGGCTGTACAGGCACCTGTCCAGCCATTTTACCCAACTGCCTGTTTATGGAAGAGAGAAGGGCCCTGCTTTCCCCGTGGATAGTGGACACTCAGTATATTGGGTTCCCATTAGATGATATGCACTAATGACCTGACTGGTTCCCAGGAACCTCCAGGAGAACTTGATCCAGACTCATATTGCTGCCCATCTTCCTGAGGGTCAGAGGTCTAAGATGAGCTAGCCTCTCAAGTTACTACCACATTGAACCTGGCCTTGCAGGCTGGGCAACAGTGTCTAAGGGGACTCTAGGCAGATTTGCTGCTTTCCAGGCTAGGCCAGCCTAGGATTTAAGGTATAGGATAGTTGAGGACTCACATTATGCATAGCCATGTGTTTAGGGGAGATATTCCTCCCCAAATCCTACAACAATGTCTCTGCAGCCTCCTAGAAAGACCCTAGACCACATGTGCTCAGCATTGCCTGCCCTAGGGCTTTTTCATAAGCCACCTTCAGCAAGGACTGTCTGTCCTCTCCCACACACTGGCTCAGAGCAGACTGGCAAACATTGCTCATGGTTTCTTGGGTGGAGCCTTTATCTTGTGAGGATATGCAGTGAAGTGTCACATGTGCCTGTGCTCAGAGCAAGACCGAGGCCGCTTCGGAAGTGATCAACAGGCATGAGCAGCCACTAGACACTGGGGTGGCTGGGGCCACAGTGGCTATGTGTGTGATAGATAGGACCTATGGCATCCTGACAGGCTGCCATGATGGCATCTCCTGCTCTTGTCTGGTTCCAGCACTCTCTTGTTTAAGAGATGTATTTGCTGTTTGGCTGGAGCTGTGCTGTTGTGACCATTGGTTCACCCTGAGAGGCTGTGTACCGTGTGTTGCTGGCCTCCTCTGAGGGTGTTGTCCTCCTTCCTTTCTCCTCTGCACACAGCCATACAGGGTGTGGGTGATGCCTAGATGTCAGCCCTGCAACCCTGCAGGTTGGGTGTGGACGGAGAGGGCAGGGAGCCACAAGGAGATTTTCTCCTGTGCTAGAATAAAGTAAGCGCTTTGATGTCCTGGAGACTGGAAAGAGTATGTGTCATGAACCCAGTGTGTGTTGTGGAGAACTGAATTCAATTAAATGAAGAGCCCTGGGGTCCTGGTGAGCTCAAGAGAGTGTGTTTGCCACTGTGACATTTTAGGAAATGATTCTGCCCCGTGGATGGGGTGGGGCGAGCCTGGCAATGGTTGCCACGCTCCTGCTTTGTTCACTGGGATTTGCCGTGCAGGCTGTAATTGTTGCTGCCTGTCATTTCCATAGGAGCAGGATTGTGCTTGCGAAGGAGGCACACCCAGGGCAAGGCAGGTACTGGCCTACAGGCCACAGCAGGGAGGTGGCAGCTGGGGTGCTGCCCATGGGTTGTTTCTGTAGCTCTGGTGGGTCAGCCGGGGAGTGTGGGACAGCCAGGAATTCAGACTGCACTGAGTCTTTGGATTCTGGCTGAAGGTACTTCCCTGAGGGAATATTCATGGCTTTGTATACAAGGATCTGTATACTATGTGAAGGTGCCCTTCTACAGGCAGACACCTCCCTTGCCCTCTGTCTCTGGTGACCCTCAGGACATTACCTGTGATGCCCATAGGCTCTGTACAATCAGTGTCTAGCCAGGGTCTCTCCACAAGCTGCATTATCTCTGCTAGCCAGTGAGGTCTTGTGTTCCTGCCTGCCCTTCTCTAGCCAGATTTTTAAGGGGTCTTCAGGGTGAAAGGACCTCTAGGGTGTAGAATGTCTTGTATCTCCCCTAGTGACCATTTGCCACTCTTTGCTTTCCTTGTTTACTGTGTGGTTGTTTTGCAGTAAGTAGTGGCTTTGGGAGTGAGGGAAAGGAAATCTGTGTCTTCCCTCAGTTCTTGCTATTTCCCCTAGGACACATGACCTCACAAACCCCAAAGGACTGGCTTCAGTGTGACACACAATCAGAAGTCTTGAATGGGCTGCATAGCTGAGACATGGACCATGCAGGACCTCAAGACTGCTGATACCTCCTTAGGAGGCATTGTGTGTACTCCTCGACCCACAGTGCTGGTGCTTGGGCCTCTAGATGCTGGCTTTCCTGGCCTTAGGACTGCATTAAGTGCAGTGTGGTACAGTGTGCTTTGTGTCTTGTCTTATTCCTGACTCCTGAGATTTCTAGCCACTACAATCCATCCAGCACTCTCTCATCCTCCCTGCCTCCAGAGCTTAGCCCAGACAGGTTTGGCTGTGTCTTGCCAGTCTCCAGAAACAGCTGGCCCAGAGGAGTAGTAAGCAATATATTGGTGAGCTTCTACCTGTGGAAGGCATAGGACATTTATTCTCAGTCTTAAAGACAGAAGCTCTGTAGAAACAGGAGGTGACAGCCACCTGCAGAATTGTTTTAGATAAAGTCTGATGGACACTCATGGGTCTTCCTGTGGACCCAAGCTGCTGAGGAGCCTGCAGGTTTGGTGGCCTGTGAACAGCTCTTGTAGATAAGCAAACTGCTATGCTCTGTAGAAACAGGAGGTGACAGCCACCTGCAGAATTGTTTTATATAAAGTCTGATGGACACTCATGGGTCTTCCTGTGGACCCAAGCTGCTGAGGAGCCTGCAGGTTTGGTGGCCTGTGAACAGCTCTTGTAGATAAGCAAACTGCTATGCTCTGTTGCTGCATGGTCGCCAGCCTGACTGTGACAAGCAGCATCTGTGCACCTGGTGAGTGCTGTCTGCAGGCCATGAAACAGCAAGGGACAGGTTGAAGGACAGCACCCTACTTCTGGAAGCCACATTCCATGTCAATTCCATGCCTGCCTGGATAGGCCCTGCTCCTAGTGGCACTAGAGGATGTGCAGGTCCTCGGCAGACTGTAGGGCATGATCTGGTACCTCCTCTTGCTCTCCTTTCGGTCTTGGACAGAGACCTTTGGCATCTGTGGCTGCTCAATGAGAAACTAGATAGGACAGGTACAGGCAGTTCTAGGTGTGGATTTTAGACTGTGCGCTGCCCCTTGTCCCCTCAGTCTCCATCCATGTTTTTCTACATTTGTCCAGTAATAACTCCCAGAGCTCTGTTTGGCTCAGGTCCTGTTTCCATCCTAGAGGGTAGTTCAAGCTGGGAGTAGCATGGGAATGAAGGAACTACTCCTCTGGGGGCAGCATGGGACTCTGAAATGGGAACCTGGAGTAGGGAAATGAGATTAGGCAATAAGGAGTAGCAGGAGAGAGGACAGAATAGCATTCTGTTGTGGGTAGATCTGGTGACTACCATCCTGCAAAAATTTTGAAGGTTTTGGGGACAGGAGAGAGGGAAGGCAGACAGGGATATCTCTTTGACAATGGACCTTGTACCCAGGACAAGGAGCATCGAGATTCAGCATTGACCAGACAGGCACACTGGAAAGAGAGCCAAGGACTCCCTACAACAAAAGTGTGTGGGAGGCAACAGCAGTGAGGCTGAGAGGAGAGCCTCTTGAGACAGGATGGGAACAACCGAAGGACTGCAGG